GCGGCTGACCGCTAGGTAATTGACTTATGAGCAAATTCGGGGCTGAAAGCAAAATCTTCCCATTTTAGCTCCTATACCCTGCAAGCCGGATGAACTAGAAAGAAAAAAATGCGTTCTGGCCGAAGCTTGACGGATACATCTCAGCCATATCACAGGATGAGATTTTCCTTTTGCGGCAGACTTCAAAGACTATTGTGAGGAATAGTGCAAGAATGTGTCACGAAAAACACGATACGAAACATGCAATGAAAAAGGCGAAAGCATTATTGGGCTTCCTGCAGCTACAACTTAGCATCAGTCAACACATACCGAAGAATGAGCAGTTTTAGATATTCAAGTGAAGACCGTCAAACAGGAATTGATAAGGTAGTTTATTACAATAGCCTAGAACTTAGAGGGTAGGCAGACAGGCAAAGTTATCTCAGCATAAAACTACTTTTAGACCTATAATTCCGGTTGAAAGAGACAATCATCGGCCTTATGTGTAAAACCAGAGCGATGACCGTCAACCTTGAAGCGTAATGACGTCGGGTAACAGAGAATCTAGTGGATCGAGCCAGGAAAAGAAGAATTATTGAAGAAACTTTTTTAGTAAAACGATAGGTAAGTTCAACAGTGATAAAGAAAAAGAGTTAAGCGCGCAAGTAATGGCATAAGTCAAAATCGGAAAGTGGTGACTGACATATTCAATGATAAAGCACGTTGGAGAAAAACCTAAAACTAAGGCACGCTAAAAATGCCAAAAGAGCAAAAGAGGCATACGTAGGGGAGTTGTGTAAGAATTTGAAAGAGAGAAGAGAGAAAGATCAAAGTCCATAAAGGACTTGAAACAGATCTTTCTTATCAAAAATAAGCTTGGGCAAACGGCAAAGGTTAGGAGGACCACAGGAGATAACTGAGAGATGACGAAGTACTTCGAAAAAAAATGTCGCCTTCTATCAGGTCAGCCACCATTCATTACAGCAGAGGAGCCTGCATAGCAAAGGCAAAGAACGGAATTTTTCCGGTACTGATGACATCCCAAGCAAATTCTGGAGAGAACGCGGATGGCTCGTTGTGTCTTGGCTTGCAGGCCTCTTCAATCAAATCATCAAATCTAAGACAATTCCGATATAGAAGAAAAGGTAATATCGCGGGATGTTCAACATATGAGCTAATCCGGCTGATGAGCCACACTCTGAAGATCCTTGGAAGTTCATTTGGAATGCGACTTCGAGCAACCATAGAGCTGTCATGCAATCAGTACGAATTTGTAACACATGCCGGTACTGCTGACCCCATCCATACTGTACGGAGAGTGATAGAGAAATACAGAAAAAAAACAAAGAGAGGTGCATGCGGTCATGGAGAAAGCATTCGACAATGTCATATTACTGCGACAGCATATGTTCCAGAAGCATAATCCAGAGAATAAAGGTGCTATGAAGCCAGAAGCCAAGTGAAAACCGCAGCAGGACATTCAAAACCAGCATAAAGACGGAGTACATTAGAGATCGGTAGTCTTTCCTCTATTCTTCATCATGGTCATGGAAGCAGTAAAGAAGGTCACCATGGGCTC